CTCTTCATCTCTCTCTCTCTCAAAATATCCCAATGATACACCCAATTTTACATATAAAACCAATAGGAGATTGATGTAGCTATCTCCTGTTGCTCTTGTTTCTCTGGAGAACCCTAATACAGTGTGGAAAAGGTGGGAAAAAATTATTAACAGTTACTTAGCTACTTGTTGGTGAGAGAGAGGGAAAGAGGTGTCTGGGAAAAAGGGAGAGGAAAGACTTCACTGAATAGCCTTTTAAATTGTGTGTTAACTATTCAAAAGTACACAAACTATATGTTAATTGTTGAAAAAAAATTTTTTAAGTAGGCTCCATGCCCAGCATGGAGCCCAACATGGGGCTTGAACTCACCACCCTGAGATCAAGACCTGAGCTGAGATCAAGAGTCAGATGCTTAACCAACTGAGCCACCCAGGCGCCCCTTGCTGAAAAGTATTTTTAAATTCCAAAATCTTACTGAAAAGTTGAATAGCAAATTGTGTAAAATACTATTTTGAATTATATTCTTATGCCCATCTTCTAACCGGAACAACTAAACAAAGAGAAGATAGGTAAGTTTCCTGGGAGAAAACAGCCGGCCTCCGCTCCCAAGCTAGAACTTGCCTTACTCTGTCCCATCCTCCTTGGAGACATTTTTTGGACATTCTTAGTGCAGAATTGGGGGCTCAATGGTTAAAACGTATAAGGAAAGTGTCCCTACATATTAAACACTCAACGTGTCTAGGATGAGGTCATAAATTGGATAATCCTGCCTGGGAATGTCGGCCCGAAAATCAACTTCAGGTACCATTTCACAATGGCCCACATAGATTCAGAGACCAAGGCAGAGCACCCCACCTCCCCACTATCCTCAAGTGAAGGGATGGATTGGCTGAGTTTCCAGGCCCAGCACCTCCAAAGGTAGAACTGGACTCAGCACTTTTGGATAAAGAATCAAGCACATCAGCACTCAACTGTCCAGAGCAGTGCAGCACATAGGCTAGAAAGTTTAATAGACTTGGTATAGATTGATGGGCACCTCTCACCACTAGCTCCTCTCATCACCTCTGGGCCACTTACTGAGCTTCTCAGAGTCTCAGTGGGTTTGGTCCTTGAGCAGGTATATGATACCAATCTTGCAAGGTTGTGAACAGATTAGACATAATGAGGCAAGAACCCAGATCAGCACATGTTCCTTAGTGGGAACTCAATAAATGGTGACTATGTACCCAAGTGAAGAGCACAGACATCATCAGTGGTCCCAAACCTATATGCCGTTGTCTCTAGAGTTCAGTCAACCCTACCCCCACCAACCTGTGGACTCTAAGTAAGACTGCGTCGTGAATCCCAGCTGTGCACTGACTAGTGGTGTGACTTTGGGCAAATCCCTTCTCTGTACTTCAGCTTCTTAATCTGCAAAATAAGATCATAACAATGACTACCTCATCAATGAACGCTTAAAACCAGATCTCACATATTAAGTATTAGCCATCATTATTATTTATCCGGTACCAAGTTCAAACAATTGCTATCAGTTTGGTTCTGATTCTAACAGCCTAGCACTGAGCTGGGGGTCAGAGTGAAACTCTCTACCCCCCTGTAACACATTTCATCCTCACACCAAGTCCATGAGTCTTACTTACACTTACAAGTTATGATCTCCATTTTCCTGGTTCTACCCTTGGCTTGTATTCATTTGCTTAATATCCATGAAGAGCTTTAAAGGTTCACTCAATAAAAATGGGCACCAACCCAAATGAAATTAAACAAAATCATCAACCTGCCCCAGAAAATCTCCATTTTCAAAATCTTCTGTGATTCCTTTTTAAGAAATTCTTTTCCCTGCAGAGTTAGGTAACAATGTTCCTAGCTCCCTTCTGTGGACTCATTCTAGAAACATTCATTGAGCCCCCGCTCGGTATCAGACCCCAGACCAGGCCCTAGGGAGAGAAACACATATAAACAAGTCCCGCCTTTGAGAAGGAGAACTGAGCAAAGCAAGTGGTCAACGACAATGCAATCTAAGAAGAATGGTATGCCGTCCTGCATGCAAGTGAGATAAGTAAGCAACAAAATAGAAACCATCTTCCATCTAAAGTATCTCCATGTGCTGCTAGAACATACCAAATGCTAGCACTGAATCCAAGAACCAAGAAATATGTTGCAACACACACACACACACACACACACACACACACACACATACTTTCCAAGTCTAGAATTAGAACACATGGTCAAAATTTCAGCATGCAGCTCTCCAAACACTACATACTTTATAAGATGAGAATACAAATAAACTTCATGATAACAGCAATCGTAATTGTACCGTTTTATATTTTTCACTTCTTTTCTATTCAAAGAACTTTCCTCTGTCTCATCTCTGTTCCCAGTACAATCGTGTGGTGGGATGAAACGTCAATCCTTACCTTTAAATTTTATAGACAAAAAGGAAACAAAATCATAAAGACTGAGTTTTGCCCTGGGTTGTTCAAATAGTAGAAAGTCAGAGTAAAAGCATCCGAGTCCCCACACTCTCAGCAGGCCTGCTGAGCGACACCAAATGAGGTCAAAGTCCCCAGAAATTAGGTTGGCATAAGTTACTGTAAGAAATGATTGCTTTGCTGTGAGTAACCAAAAAAGACTAGAATCCGAACCCAAAGGGGCAGAATAGGAAGTGGAAAGGTTTTACAAAGCCTTCCCTTAAAACAAATCAAGACAACAAAATAGCCTTTGCCAGGTATCAGATTAGCACATTTATTAAAAAAAAAAAAAAAAGCCAAAACCCAACATTGGTGAAAGTGTGGTAAAATGGTATTCATACAGTGCTGGAGGGAGTGTAAATTAATAGCACTTTCCTAGATTAAATTTAGTGGCAGGGATCAAGAGCTTCAAAAATGCTCACGCCCTTTGACCCCACAGTTTTCCCTCTGGGAATATAGTCCAAGGAAACAATCAAGAAGAGACACAAAGGTTTCATTATAAGTACATTGGTTTTGTGATGTTGATAATAGAAAAGAAAACACTCTAGTACCTACCAACATGACTTAATAAACTCTCTGTATAATGTGATCAAACAACTTTTGTAGAAAGAAATGAGCGTTTATCTCACAGTGATAGGTTTTTATCTTTCATCTTATTTACTAATCTATATGTCCTTTATTTTATTTCTGACAGAGAGGATGTGCTAGCCCTGTCAGTTTTGCAAGGGATACTTTAGAAGTGAATTTCAGCCATTCCTTGACCATGCCCGGCAAGGTTTTCTCCTAAGTAAGCAAGCAGGCGTGTGCCCAGAAGGTGTTGTGGGAGAGAAGATTAGCAATAGCACGCTGACTTGAGAAAGGCCATAAGTATCGCTCTAAATTCATCACCAGAATTAGGAAGATTAAATTCATCTCAAGAAGTGCTCTCTGCTCCTTCTGGGCAGCATTATCTTCTTCCTTTCCCCAACAGATCCACACGTTTCCAGGGAGCACAAACCCTCCCTTGGCCTCTAGCACCGCGGTGGTCTCCAGCGGTCCGTGGGCAGGTAGCGGGATTCACAAACAAGCTGCACCATCTGAAACATCCTTCCCTAACCCAGCTCCCCAGGCTCTGTTCACCACAGTGCCAACTAGCATTTTGCATAAAAGTAAGGAGTTGTCAATCGAATTGAATGAATTGAACAGTAAACCCCATTTTGCTCTCCTTTTTGTGTTCTCATTTCCTATCTTTAATCTTCCAGATTCTGTCCCATTTTCTTATTCTTTCCCACAACAATGTTACTGATAGGATTATAAAAGTCAAGCATGTCTAATAAAAAAATACTGGACATTGTTTATCATCTCTTCTGAGAGTTTTCCTTACAGCTCTGGGTGTAACATTTGTTAAGCCTTGGGAAAAAAAAAAAAAATGCTGTGCTTTTAAAATGACATTTTAAGCCCTTACTGGAGGAAACACATACAAGCCTTGCTAATACAACACATTATAACTTTAAATGCAACCAGTGGGTGTCTGTTAATAGTAACGCAATGCCTTCAGTCAAACATCGGGCCAGATTGTGCCCCTCTCAAACTGACAAATTTTAATGGAAAGTGATCAAATAAGTCTTAATTCTAACATCAGCAACAACATTTTTAAAAGATTCTTATTTATAATACCGTTCACTTAAACCCCACAATTTACCAACCGTCATGCAACTATTTATGGCTTCTAAGTACTGTGTAGTTATAAAATATATTTCCCACATCTTTCATAGTTAATCTTCCATAGAGTAAAACATGCATTATCAGAGGCGATCTTTTAATATGACTCACAGACACATCTTAAGGTTAAATATGCCTACAGAGCCACATAACTCCAAGAAATTCTTAAAATCCTGTTTTCAACGAACAGCATAACATGATCAGTTTTATCAAAGCCTTTTGTCCCTCCTAAATCTTTCATCCGTATAGAAGCAAGCAAAAAGAAAACAAGGGGGAAATACGGGACCAAAAACCAGAAGTGCAATTCATCATCTTACCATCTCCTTTCTTCATCGTGGGGACATTTGGGGATGGCTGGCCTCGCAGAAGGCGGTGACTTGGAGGGTAAGCCCACAGCGTTTGTTCCCCCAAATAAGTCAACTGAGAAAACAAAAGTGCATTCTGAAGTCAGCCCTAGAGAGACTTGCTAATTCCTCTTTTCTTTTTCCAGAGAGCTTTGGGTCTGGTCCGTGCAGCACGAGAGGTGTCCCTCACATCTTGTCAGCAGACCCAGTTTTACCGCGGCTGAAAGGAGACTCTGAGTGACGTCTGTGTCAGAGCCTATGTGGGCTTTAATCCTCAGCAGTGACACATGTGGGGAGCTATGAACAGGAAACTCAGAGCTGGGCAGACAGCCAGAATCATTCCGAAAACGTGCCAAACCCTTACGAAATACCAACACACTTTACCGCACGCTCACATCGAACGCTTCACAAGCCTGTGTCTCTATCCCCATGTGACTTTGTGTTAGACCTAGACAAAGTTTGCCAGCATGTCCAGCCTGGCAGGGGTCCCATCAGCCGATGGGTCAAGGCCAGGAATGGGGACTCATACACTCTCCCTCGGTTGCCAACCTCCCGATCCTTCTTGTAACAAAAGCCACAGACAAGAGCCTGGAGGACCTTTCAGTTCCTTTTATCCTTCAGCCCTGGGGCCCCTTCGTGATGTGCCCGTTCGCCTGCCACAGGCCCTGGGAGCACCGCCAGAATCTCTTGTCAGCATCCTGGAGGTGGGAGACCCGCTGATCAGCCCTGAGCTTGGGGTGATGATCGGATTGTGGCAGGCAGAAGGGGAGGGCAGGGCTGTAGCCAGAGCCTCTGGCTTCCAACAGAGGCAGCCGAGTCCATCCAGGAGAGATGGTACTGCCCCGCTGCCTCTTTTATCTCTCTCCTTTGGCCCCTCCTATGCCCAGCATTCAGATTCACGTTCTCCGCATGACATGGGGTCCAGCTTTTCACAGTGCTGCTCAAAAATCTCCAGCATGACCAAACCTCCCAATTGAGAGACCAAATGTTCTACTTTAGCCATGGGCAGGGATTTTAACAACATTAAGAACGAGCACAATGGTCTTGAGGTTTAAGGCAACATTCCTGCAGTAGTTTCGCTGACATTTTTATTTTTTTATTTTTATTTTTTAAAAGATTTTACTTATTTGACAGAGAGAGAACACAAGCAGGGGGAGCAGCAGAGGGAGAGGAAGAAGCAGTCTCCCCACTGAGCAGAGAACCCAGGATCCCGGGATCACAACCCGAGCCAAAGGCAGATGCCCAACCAACTGAGCCACCCAGGTACCCCTTGCTGACATTTTTAAAACCTATCTATAACATGAGTGTTCAGGTCTTGGCCATCTGGTAAATCAACAGATTGTTAAAGACATAATCCTAGTGAGAAAGTTGAGAAGACCCTCAAAGTTCAGAGTGAACTTGCCACCCTTCCTCCAATGCGGAGTACACATGAGCCTTGAGGGACTAATTCCATCCCCAACTCTAGGTTGGCCCCACTGGTCTGAGCCAACCAGGGTCATCCCACCATTCCTGCCGGAGAGATCGTGGGATGGGCACTACAGGGCAAAGCCAGGTGGCACACGGCATCCTCCTGGCCCTAGCAAGGGCTCAGGGGGCGGTCTAGTCAGAGCAAGGCTTGGGGCTTCCACCTGACAATGGTAGGAAGCATCCACTTAAGGCTGATACGTGAACCCTTCTTAAGATGAGAGAAACGAGCTTGAGAATGAAGCTCACACACAAGGGAGGGGTTTCCAGAGAACTACAGAGAAAGTGCTAGAGACTGATCCAACCCATATTATCTCTGGAATGTTCAGTGATGAGAGCCAACACCTACCTTTTGGTGTAGCCAGGTCAGCCAAGTTGGGTTTTCAAAGTGTCCTAACACAGACTCCCAGACAGGCATCTCAGGGGAAGGAGGCTGACCACTTTTCCTCTGCACAAGAAGCTTGCTATCTTTCTGCCTCCAGTTCAGCCCTGCCCCTCCATCTCCTCCCATCCCCTTTCCCTTCCTCTCCTCCCCCTGCTCCTCTCCCTCCTCCTCCTTGGCCTCCTTCTTCCCCCTCTTTCCTCTCCTCCCTCTCCTCCTTCTCCTCCCGCTCTTTCCTCCCATAAAGAAAGAGAGAATTCTGAGTAGACAAGAAGAGATTCTGAGTAGACAAGAAGAGGCCAATGAGGAGAGAAGAAGCCACAGTCAGCAGTGGTTTGCAACTTCCAGACAAACACCAACTCATGAGCTCCCAGACATGGCTTTTACACTCTGAAACACGCTAGCAGGTTCCGGGGCTGCTGGCCAGGAGTGACTGATGCTGGAAGATGAATGATATTTTATTCCTGAGAGGCTTCTGGCCTCCCACTGGGTGCAAGACCCTCTTCTAAGCATTTTGGAATTAGTAAAAAAAAAAGACCTAGAAGACCCAGCCTCGGCCTCAAGAAGCTTACTATCCAGTAGATAGTTGGCTACAGATGCAACAATGGGCTTAATCCACCATAGGTATTTGCCTCCTAAAATAGGAGTTTGTGACCCCAATTTTTCTCTAATCGGTTTAGTTTATCATCTTATCTAAACCTCCAGTGAAGGGGAGAGATTTCATTTCAAGGATTTTTCTGACCCTTTTTTCCATTCCAGACAATTTCTTCTCTCTTCCTCTTTCCGCTTCTCAGCCAGGAGAAAAAAATGTCAGGAATCTACAATGTTTAGTTAACATGTGTGAACACACACACACACATACTTCTTCCTGGGATTTCTCAGTTGCTTAGTTCCTCCACAGAGTTCAAAAAAACAAGTAGTCATAGTTGGCAACAAAAATTCAATACCAGAAGTTAATGGAAAATCTCCAAACTCCAGGGTCCTTTATAAATGCTGGCGCATAAGACTCACTGAGCCAAGTCCAGAGCTCTGACTATTCAAACTATAGAAAACGTCATGATGACACACTTTTATTAGTAACATGGTCTCTGTAGAACCCCAGAACGTTCTGTATTTATACTTAAGTCAGAAACAACTCATGTACTTTCCCAGAATATTCTTAAGAAAAAGTTTACACATTCAGGATTGACTTGCATTTAAGAATATCTTTAATGTGTTTGTAATTCATGTGTTTCCTACACATCACATTTGATGAGAGAGAAGACTATAAAGAAGCACATGCAATATCTTTGAGCATGAGCTTGTGTGTGGGTGCAAGTGTGTGTATCTGTGTGCACCCATGGCCATACCTGGACTCTAACCTTGACTCTCCCACCATAGGCTGTGAGTCCTTAAGAAAGGGTAAACCTCTGCTTTACAGTCCAGCAATTTTGCAATTAAATGGACACTGACCTGGGCCCCAGGAGACCTGAATGAAAGAAACTGCTTTAACTTCATCACTGTGCTTTTGGGGCAATCACCTCTCTGGACCTCAGTTTCTACATCTGAAAAAAAAAATGCAGTGTAGTCTAAGTCCTTGTGACATAAAGTGTAGCCATAGGCCAAGAGCATCACCAGGGAGCAGATCAGAAATACAGACTCTCAGGGCCCTACCCCAGAACTACTGAATCAGAATCTGCATTTTTAATAAAAGTGCCCAGGTGACTCAGGTGCATATTTAGGTTTGAGGAGCACTGGTCTGCATGATCTCTGAAGTGCCTTCCAGTGACACATTCTGTTAGTTTAACTTTTGTTCCTTTAAACAGGAAAATTAACACATCATGCCAAATGACTGCCTTGTAACCTTTGTGGTTAAGCCCTGGGAGAATCTGGTTTGATACTTGCATGTTGATTTCACTCCTGCTCCAGGCAACCAACATATAAACAAATCGGATTGTCTGCATGACCCTTCCAGACCACCAAGTCACGTGGTGTCTTCCAGCTTCCTACCAAACCTCTTAAGAGTACGCCATCTTTTAATACTTCATACGTCCAGAGAGCTTCCTCATCCATCACTGGGTCTGAGGGATTTTGCAAGTACAGATTAGTGAACAGGAAAGATTTTGGATGAATTATTACAGAGCTAGTCTTTTAGCACTTAATGAAGCCATGATCACTAAGAGAAAACATGAGTTGACTAAGAATGAGCCAAGCCTGGGGAGGCTCATTAAATCTGTTTGATGGAGTTATAGATGGGAAGATTATGCAGAACACTGCAGACTTAATGAATCAAGAACTCATGCAAGCATTTGCAAACCTCTTTCTTGTGAGCAAAATGAAGAATACAGTTGGTAGAACTGGATACTTTCATAAACACCCATGCTCCATGACAAATGGGTCAACCTGAAGAGTGGTCTCCAGTGAAAAACCTCAGGTGCCCTCTCTGGTCCCTCCTAGGAAAATAGCAGCCAGGCTGGGTGTACACACGGTCATGGGTGACCCACTAGTTGTAGTAAGTCAAGAGTAAAGGAGAATGAGGGGAGGGAGGATTGGAAGGAATACATTTCCCCCCCAGAAAAGCAAATTCAAGGGTAGAAAGCAGAACTGGAAGAATCTGAAACCAAAAAATTTAGCAAGTGAGCATTGCCAAAAAGATCCAGAGAATGTAGAGGTAGATCCAAAGGCCATGTATGGATGAGAAGAGAAGGTAACAAAGCCAAGTTAGAGGCTGGAGGCAGAGTTGGTGGGCCGAGTGCAAGTTCCTGCAGCCTAAGGGCAAAGTTGGCATATTTACATGATGAGGGACCCGGAGGTAGAATGGACTGAAAATTCACTGAGTGGGTAAATCAGGAAACCAAAATGTCCCATTAGGAGGGAACCACAGGGCCAATCTAACAAAACAAAATTTAACAGAGACAAATGTAAAACCCTATTCTTTCTTCCCAAACCTAATTTTGTAAGTACAGGCCAGGGCACACAAAAAGCAGAAACATTGGTGGAAAACAAAACCAAACAAACTGGGGGATCTTGATTGACTGAGACGTCCTTGATGAATCCTGAGTGGGATCGGAGACTGCATGCTTAGCTGCTCTGGTGGAAGTGTGCCTTCTAACACAAGGGAGGGTGGTCACTCTCAAGATCAGTCTTCAGAACAGTGTTTTCTAAACATGTTCCCATCGTGGCACACTGACAAAATGATAACGAGGGCTTTCCTGGCCTGAGAAGGCCATCCAGACTCTCCTGTTGGCCCATAAACCAAGGGGATTGATAGTTGCACACCTGGAAACCATCAGGCCATGCCAGGGGCCAAGGTATCCTAACCCAGAGATGGAACTAGGACAATGTGGCAGAAAGTTCTGGAGGCCAATATAAGAAAGACCTGTGTAACAATAGAGCTCTCAGCAATGAAATGCACCAAATCCAAAGATGATGTGTGTGCCCCAACCCTGAAGTACTCAAACAAAGGCCACTTGGGGTGGGCATGAACATCTAATAGGACTCCCTTCTGCCATCCCTTCTTGGCCCCCTGATTTTTCTTTCAGTCTGTGGATTGTTTTGGTTTGGTTTGGTTTGCTCTCATGGCCAATCACTGTTAAGAAGGGCATTTTCTCACCATTCACACACTGAAATAGGAAATTGGGGCTAGTAAGAGCAAATCCAAGTCTAGAACTTATTTTTTTTTTAAGATTTATTTATTTATTTTAGAGAGCTTGAGAATGCACATGAGTGGGGGAGGGGCAGAGAGAGAGGGATTGAAATAGACTCCAGCTGAGCACAGAGCCCAACACGGGGCAGATCGTGACCTGAGCTAAAATCGAAGAGTCGGATGCTTAGCTGACTGAGCCACCTGGGCTTCCCCAAGTCTAGAATTTAGATCTA